ATTTAAAAACGATTGAAAGTCATCAAGTATCACTGCTGGGTCTGACCCTTTTCTCAACACACAACCCTGCTAGACTTTCAAAATAAGACTCCAGTTACCCTACAAAATAAAAGCCTCTATATTATACTCGTGTATTAATTGATGCAAATGGCTCAGCATTATGACCCAAACTCCACCAGCTTGTTACTATTAGACTCTAGAAGCCTTTTCAAAACATACCCAGGAGCAAATTTCACAATAAAAGTCTCCCATTTACGCTCTAATACAGCATCTATTCACCCAATAACATGGAAAACCAGTGATTTCATATTTGGAAATGGATTCTATATCACTGCTGGGCATGACCCTTCCCTTGACACACATCCATGATAGACTTTCAAAATAAGACTAAAGGGAACCTACAAAATAAAAGCCTCTTCCTTACGCACACTCATTCATTGTGCCATATGGCTTGTAGCTATGACCCAAACTTAACCAATTTCTTCAAATTACACTACCAAGGCCTGTTGACCACACACCTCAGTGCATATTTCTTAATCAGGTTCTAAGATTTATACTGTAATAAAGCATCTGCTAACCTTGTAACATGCAGCCTAAGCCTGCCAACGGTGCTTTCATTACCACAGCGGCTCGTAACATGCAGGTTCAATTTTTTTTATAAATTCAGCTCCTTAAGTGGTATTAGCTCTCTTTCTATAAGCTTCTCTCTCTGTCCTTCCTCTGCTTCTCATGGTCAGTCTTGCACATAGGTTTGTAGATTTTCAATCCTCTAAGGATGACACTGTTTTCTTTATGCTGATCAACCGACACATTTTAAATAATTTTCCAGTTGTTTTGCCAAGTCTTGACATTTCCACATATGATTTCAAAATGTTAATACTTATTCAATACCATCGTCCTCAACATTTTACTTCCCATCCTTAAGCTACTAATTTTTTCTTCAACCAGATAAGATTAAAGTTTTTCTTTGTAATTTCTTTTCTACTTCAGCTAATTTCATACTTTTCAGCCTATGTTGTGAACTTTGGCTTCATTCTGCTCTGTTACTGGACAGGAATTAAGCTTTTCTGTTTGCTGCTAATTCATAACACGCCTGACATGTTTCTGGAAAGTAGGTAAACCCCCCTTCAAAATTTCTTTATACATTTTTCTAGAAACTTGGGAGACATTATATTAAGACCCTTCTAGTGCCCACATTCAAGACATTTTTTTGATATCATGTATGGTTTGGCTGTGCAGCTTTTAAGATGAGTTTCTTTCTGCCATTTTACTGCCAAATGATTCTACCCTACAAAATCTTCAGATGATTCAATTGTTTTCTGCAGTTTGAAGTTTCTGATGACTTCCTATCACATTTTCATATGTTCTTCAGGTAATTTCAGCTTTTTTCATTCAGCAAAAGCATTCCCACTTTGATGTTTCTCCGAAACAGCTTTTTCTAGTTTTAAGTTGTTTTTAGTATCTGTTAGCTAGTTTGGTTTAGTTTTAATTTTTTTTTTTTATGCTTAGTGTCAGTTATAGTTTTCGCCTTTTATGTAATACAACTTAGATACCAAGGGCAAGAATAAAAAAATCCCTAAAACAATAGAAATAAAATCTCAGATAAGGACAGCCTGCTGCAGCAACTCAAATGACCTGACTGCTGTACCGCCCTCTACTGGTGTAATGAAGTACAGCAACCAGAAACCAGATAATGCATTATGATGAAGACACAAACAAAAACTAACCACATTCTCCCCTAAAAATTTTTTTCTTTATATTTTAGTAAACTCTTTTTAACATTTAAGTTATTTTTGTGTGAAAAGTCTAGTTTCAAATTTATTTCAGTTGATCAAATTTTTTTTTTTTTTTTAGTTTGTCATTCAGTTAGTTTTAGTAAATGGTAATAACCTTGATTGACTTGACCAGTTTTTCTGGGGTTAAATTTAAAGCCATCTGAACAGAAAAATGACGTCAAACCACAGCAGCAGTTCTACAACAGAAAAGAACTAAAGTGTTAAAACGGCCTAGTCAAAGTCCAGACCTACAGACTGTTATATAAACCCCCAGTTAAAACCAGAGACAATTTGGTCTACGTTCCTTCATTTAGCTCACACAGGAGGGGTTTCTCTCCCCAGAAGGCATCCTGTGGTCAATATAACTCTGCCCTCAGCTGTTTACACAATCAACCTGTGATTAAACCAAAAGCGACGGTGCACAGCTGCGTTCTGTCATGAGCACACACCGAGGTCGAAGTTGTACATGCAGTAGGTCATCAGCACGTCGTGGAGCAGAGTCAGGCCGGGGTTGTCGTTGCCGGAGAAGAACGTGTTGTTCCTGTCCGTCCTGTTGACGTCCCTCTCTGTCGAGGACAGCAGAGCAAAGGAATCAACAGCTGCTGCTGGGAAAATAACAACATCCTTTTGTTATGTGGCGTGCAGGAGAGCTGACCTATCAGGCTCCTGTACCCTCTGAGGAGGGTGTTCCTCATCTCCTGCTCTTCGCTCACAGACTTCCATTGCACCTTCATCCGGAAGTACTCATCCCTGCAGACACAGATGATGAGAGGAAAAGTTTCATATTCAGCAGGCTGTCAGCAAAGTCTGGGTATATGTGAGGGAGAGAACCGACGTTTTGACTCGAAGAATGTTCTCTCTTTCCTTTGAGGTGCTTTTCCATGGATAGAAACCGAGGAGGAACTTCCACACTTCTTTCCTGAGCGATGGAGTGATGCCCTGCAGCGTTTAAATATAATTAGTTTTTGCTTTGCTAAAAATGAAAAAGGTTGTGTTGGTCCCTCGTCCTGTCTTACCCCTCTGAACACGAGTTCTTTGACTTTCTCTGGGTCCGTCACCCGGCCATCGGAGTCCAGAAACTCCTCCCATTTATCCAGGGGTCGCCCCCTGGTTACGTCCGGCCTGGAGCCCAGCTCCACGCCCTGCATGGAACAAACAAGAATGAGCGGCGCAGCTCAGTTATCTCCCCCCCCCCCAACGTTCTTTTTGTCATTTTCTTACGCAGGTGATGAGCTCAAATCCAGGCTCGTCGTCAGGCTGCGCCGGCAGACCCGGTCCATGGGCAGCCTGCCTGACGGGGGCGTCGGGAGGCCGGAGAGCCGCACGGAAGAAATTGGTGACCTTGGAGAATCCTCCAAACGTGGTGGCGTACGGGTCGTGTATGAATCTCTGTTGGGGTCGTACAAAACGGAGGAACATTAAGACAAAACGTTTTGGCTTGAAAACATTTTGAGATCGGCCTCAAAGTACCGCGACGATGTCGGAGCCGTCATCCAGGATTTGAAGCTTGTCGAAGGTCTGAGGGAAGGCTTCCGAGCTCGGGTCGCGCGGATATGCAAGGAAGAGGCGCCCGTCAACAGGAGACCTGAAGATGATCACACCAGGCAGCATGAAGACCAACTGACTCTTCAGCTTAGATCCATAATTAAAGGGTTTTACATATTAACAATGTTTCATTTGGACTCAGCAGTAATGAGGTTTTCTCAGCGAGAAGAAAAGGATGTTTCTAAAATGATACATCTGTATGGAGCACTTCCTTTTTATAAATAAAGTTCTTTGTCTGGTCCGAAAGCATATGCTAAAGCACAAAGGAGGATCTATGAAAAACTGAAAACTGAAAAGAATCTTGTTAGAGCGAATGGCATCATTAACACATTTGAAAATTAAACTGCTGCTGGATTTCAGCTGAAAAGGGAAGCTTTAGGATGCAGATCATGTCTCTAAACTAACACAGCAAGAGGAAGAGGAACAAAAAGCATCATTTTTATAGGAAGATGTCCCAGATTAGCATCCTACAGAGAAGCTATGGGGTCAGCCAACAGCAGAGCTCTGCTGATTTGATCAAAGGTTATGATGATACTCACTGGTCCAGGACGATGTAATGGTGGAGAGCCTTCAGAAGTTCCCTGGTTCCTCCTCTGTGGAAGTGCAGAGGAGGAAGCGGGTGGCCCCCTCTGCTCGTAAGCACCATGAAGTTCCGACCCAGGGAAAAGCGGGCCCTCCGGAGGGAGTACAGCTCCGACAGAGGCAGAGAGAACGCCCACTGACCTGTGGTTAGAAAAAAAAAAATTTTCCATGAGTTTTCATGAAATAAACGCTGCGGCTGTAACTGTAGGAAGCAGAGAGTAAAACCTGAGTCTTTCACTTGGGCGTGTTCGCGGTCTTTCTTCACGGTGCTGATGACCGCCCAGTCGGGCTCATACCCAGGGTCAAAGTTCATGTCCTCCTCGCCTCCTTCCCCATCCTGATTAGAAACAAGAAGAACAAATGATCACAACAAATGCAAACATTTCTTTTTTTATATATAAAGCACACAGTAACTGGTGGCCAACCTTCCTGCTGTAGAGGACCGTAGGCGCGCTGCGTCCCTCGTCCTGCAGGGGGCTCCATTCTAAAGCGGGCACTCCAGCCTATAGAAGGGGAAATGATCAGTCCATCCCTGTGCTTTAGAAAGATGGCATCCAGGTGCGGTTTTCATACCCGTTCTACGATGCGGATAAATCCCGGGATGCTGGTTTCCTGGAGCGTCCTCTTGGCATTGGTGTGGAGGTAGACTCCCTCTTTCTCAAATATCAGCTGAGAGGAAGAAGAAGAAACCTTCAGTCAGACTTGCAAAGTGAGCCAATCAAAATCGAAGCTAACCTTTGTGCTTTTAAGGCCCCATTTGAACCAAACAGAGAAAACCCAATGAATCAAACAGGTGATGATGCCTCTAATCAATAAACTAATCACAGAGAACGAAAACAGTCTGTGACTGTTAATGATTCTTATTGATTATTTCCAACGTCTACAACCCCCCCGCCCATTAAAATCAGGGAAGCTCTGGATTCGATACAAATATGGCAATATGAAGCATTGCCTAACAGCTGATATTGACCCAATACAACATCAGCAAGAATCATACAAATTGTTATTCCTTAGTTTGTGGTTTAGATAATTAGAAAAGGCTTAGTAAACACAGAACAATAATCAACAACAGGTAGAACAGACCTATTTATTATTAACCGGTGGATTAGATAAACTCATCATGCCGATACCAGAGATTTTAGATCCAGGCTGATGTACGGTTGTTTAAAAAATATCGATGCTCTAAGAAGCATGTAAACTCTACGGAAGAGGATTAGGGCCACTGAAAAAAAAAAAAAAGTTAACTGATTTTTAAATTTTATTTCAGTTTAACATGGGGGAAAAAAGTCAGAATTCTTTTTTCTCAGAATTCTGACTTTAATGTCAGAATTCTGACAGATAACAAACATGTTAGCATCAAGCCATAGCCATGTCTGTTTTAGAGACTTGCTCTCTTGTTTTAATGACCTTCTGCTCCTCCTTTAATGAGGGGACCCCTATGGCACGTAAAAAGTTGCCTAATTCCAATATTCTCCACCAGTGTGTCACTGGCCACCTCAAACAACTCACATCTTTGTCAGTGAAGCTGAGTGCTCCCACATCTCTTCCTTCATGGTGCCCATCTACATTAAGATCCAAAATTCTGAGATTAAAGTTAGAATTCTGACTTTTTTCCCATACTAAACTGAAATAAAATTTAAAAATCAGTTAACTTTGTTTTTTTCCAGTGGCCCTAATCCCCTTCCGTAAAACTCAAATGCTGTACCTGAAACAATGCTAATTTGGCATATTACTGATACCTAATAGAAGTGCTGTTGTTAATGTAAGATTTCTAGATTATATGAAAATTAAAAGCAAAATATCTCAATCGTAAAAGATCGTCAAATTGTTTTCAATTTGGGTGAGTTATTTTGCCTTTATTTGCACTCATTTTAAACTAGTAGAATTTGTGACTCATCCTGGGGTGTAGGGGTTCATTTGGTTCAGTTTATTTCTATAGCCCCATTTCACATCACAAGTCATCACAAGGCACTTTACAGTTCACCAGGTGATACAGTCAAATTGATTAAAAGTTTTCTATCTAAGGAAAACCAACTGATTGCATTGACTCATTGACTCTTCAGCAATCCCTCACACGAAGCATGCTTGTAGCGACAGTGGAGAGGAAAAACTCCCTTTTAACAGGAAGAAACCTCCAGCAGAACCAGACTCAGTGTGAGAGGCCATCTGCTGAGGCCGACTGGGGTTCAAGGAGACAGAAGCAGAGACACAAAAAGCAGCTCTAAAAGTAGGTATTAATAAATGTATTTCCAATTTCTTCAATGCTTTTTTTTTTCCACCTCCATTGTATTGGAAATGGTTTCCTATGCATCAATATTGAGTTTGGAGTTTTTTATCCTTTATTTATTTATTTTTTTCTTTAGTTATTTTTGGCTGATATCTGACCGATTTCCAATATCAATATCGTCCAATTGATCGACTGGCTGATCAGAGAGGAAACACAGTAAGGAGTGTGAGAGAGAGCTACTGCTCACAAACATGAAAGGCAGCATCAGAATCTCCTGCTTTAAAAGATATTATAAATATGTACAGTATGTATGAGACACAGAAGCAGACCTAGAACCCTCTACAGGGGCTATATATATATATATATATATATCTCAGTGTGGACACGTGTTAAATCTGCAGGCATCCAGCTGCTAAAGACTGGAGGGTGAAACCCCCCAATTTACACGGATGGTCATGCTGCCTTTATAGACCTGCTATTACATCTGCTATCCCAGTATTGGATAAGATGATTGGATCAACCAGGAGAGTAATGAAGGGTTTAGCCATATTCTATCAAAAGGCATTTGAATTCAGTTATATTTATCTTTAAGGTAGAGCAAAATGTTACTTTATTCCATTTAAAGTAACCTGATTATATCACTTTTCTGTTTCTATTTTTCACCTTTCATTTTTTTTTTTTTTTTTGACGAATTGTAGTATAAAGGTTAATATTCTTTAACAAAGGTTAGGGTTGACTGGACTTTGGACATATTAACGTTGCTCTAAGAACAAAAATAGGTGAATATTAATATTATAAATATGTCAAACATGAGAAAGCAATGAAAGAGGTAAATCACATGACTGGGCTGACTCATCTGTCAGGTCAGACAGACTCGATCAAGAAAAAATTGAACAAACTTCAAAGTTTTTTCTCCCTAACTTCCTGAGCAGTGAGCTTTAATATCAAATAAATTAATAAAATACCTAAAGCCGACCTAGAGGAAGGTTTCCATCTTTCATTTAACGCCCAAAGACAAGAATGTACCAGATATTGTCTTGGATTGCTATTTTCACCCTTATTGAGCTATAAGCTAACCTTAAGCTTTAACATCGGTTCCCTGTTAAAAAGGCTTATAGCTTAGAGAAGCTATGAGGCGAAATTATAACAGGAAAAATACAAAAATACCTTGAAATCTTCCACGTTTTCCCCCATTTTCTTTCCGCTTCAGTCGCAGCTTCGCTTTCTCCAAAACAAATGTGACGTCACACTTCCTGCTCACGGAAAGTCCCGCCTATCGAATAACGTCAAGTGCCATAAGAGCCAATCAGTTTGCACTTATTCCCATGCACGTTTTAAAACCCCAGTTTTATATATTATCATATAATTAATATAATTAGCATCAGATCAGTTAAAGACAGTGGCCGCTAGATGGCAGCACTTTGTTTTATATACTATTACTATTAATTTAAGATTTGCTCTCTTTATTATAGTTACTTTCTCCTATAAATACATGAATTAAATGAAAATAGATAGATAGATAGATAGATAGATAGATAGATAGATAGATAGATAGAAATTGATAAGTAGAAAACATTAATCCTTATTTCATATAACTTTTAAATTATGACCTTAATGATATTTCATCCTTATAAGTTGATCATTTTAAGAGTAAACTACGCCCATATTTGGTCCATATTGCTGTTTGCACAGTTTCTACCGTAGTCAGTTAAATAAAATGCTGATGTCATTTTGCACATCAATGATGCTGCTGCTATTTTCCAATATCCATTACTGTAAAAAAAAAAAATGTCCATACATTTGTATTGGTTATTTATTCTCCAGGTGCACAGTTTTAATATTGTTAAAATACTTTACAGTACAATATTTTATTGTTTATCTTTTAACTCCTTACTACTATGTTATTCTTATAAACTTTTCCCATTTGTGTGACCATTTTTTTCTATATTCTTTTTGGTGTTGTACAGGTGCTGGTCATAAAATTAGAATATCATGAAAAAGTAGATTGATTTCAGTAATTCCATTTAAAAAGTGAAACTTGTATATTATATTCATACATTACATACAAACTCATATATTTCAGATGTTTATTTTGTTTAATTTTGATGATTACAAATGACAACAAATGAAAATCTCAAATTCATCATATCAGAAAATTAGAATATTACTGAAGACCAATAAAAACAAAGGATTTATAGAAATGTTGGCCAACTGAAAAGTATGAACATGAAAAGTATGAGCATGTACAGCACTCAGTATTTAGTTGGGCCTCCTTTGGCCTGTATTACTGCAGCAATGCGGCGTGGCATGGAGTCGATCAGTCTGTGGCACTGCTCAGGTGTTATGATAGCCCAGGTTGCTCTAATAGTGGCTTTTAGCTCTTCTGAATTGTTGGGTCTGGTGTATTGCATCTTCTTCTTCACAATACCCCATAGATTTTCTATGGGGTTAAGGTCAGGAGAGTTTGCTGGCCAATTAAGAACAGGGATACCATGGTCCTTCAACCAGGTACTGGTAGCTTTGGCACTGTGTGCAGGTGCCAAGTCCTGTTGGAAAATGAAATCTGCATCTCCAAAAAGTTGGTCAGCTGCAGGAAGCATGAAGTGCTCTAAAACTTCCTGGTATGTGGCTGCGTTGACCCTGGACCTCAGAAAACACAATGGACCAACACCAGCAGATGACATGGCACCCCAAACCATCACTGACTGTGGAAACTTTACACTGGACTTCAAGCAACGTGGATGAAGTGCCTCTCTTCTTTTCCTCCAGACTCTGGGACTTTGATTTCCAAAGGAAATGCAAAATTTACTTTCATCAGAGAACATGACTTTGGACCACTCACCAGCAGTCCAGTCCTGTTTCTCTTTAGCCCAGGCAAGACGCTTCTGACGCTGTCTGTGGTTCAAGAGTGGCTTGACACAAGGAATGCGACAGCAGAAACCCATGTCTTTCATACGTCTGTGTGTGGTGGTTCTTGAAGCACTCACTCCAGCTGCAGTCCACTCTTTGTGAATCTCCCCCACATTTTTGAATGGGTTTTGTTTCACAATCCTCTCCAGGGTGCGGTTATCTCTCTTGCTTGTACACTTTTTTCGACCACATCTTTTCCTTCCCTTCGCCTCTCTATTAATGTGCTTGGACACTGAGCTCTGTGAACAGCCAGCCTCTTTAGCGATGACCTTTTGTGTCTTGCCCTCCTTGTGCAAGGTGTCGATGGTCGTCTTTTGGACAACTGTCAAGTCAGCAGTCTTCCCCATGATTGTGTAGCCTATAGAACTAGACTGAAAGACCATTTAAAGGCTTTTGCAGGTGGTTTGAGTTAATTAGCTGATTAGAGTGTGGCACCAGGGGCCATCAATTTTGAACCTTTTCACAATATTCTAATTTTCTGATATGATGAATTTGAGATTTTCATTTGTTGTCATTTGTAATCATCAAAATTAAACAAAATAAACATCTGAAATATATGAGTTTGTATGTAATGTATGAATATAATATACAAGTTTCACTTTTTAAATGGAATTACTGAAATCAATCTACTTTTTCATGATATTCTAATTTTATGACCAGCACCTGTAAGCACCAGAATATCCCCATTGTGTAAAATGGGATATTGTACTGTATGTTATTATATTTTACCATTATTTATATATATATATATATATATATATATATATATATATATATATATATATATATATATATATATATATATATATATATATATATATATATATATATATATATATATATATACAAAAAACGTTAGAGCTGTAAATTTACAGTCATATGTTTATATTATATTACAACATGACTGTTAGGTTAATTGGCTTCTCTAAATTGTCCTTAGGTGTGAGTGTGTGCATGAATGGTTGTGTGTCTTGTGTGTCTCTGTGTTGCCTGGCGATGGACTGGCGACCTGTCCAGGGTGTACCCTGCCTCTCCCCCATTGACTGCTGGAGATAGGCACCAGCACCCCTCGCAACCCCACTTGGGACAAGCGTGTAAAGAAAATGGATGGATGTTTATATTACAGTTTTTAAAGATTTTTTTACTATTTTTCAAGGCTGCACTTTAAAAAAATGAAACTTTATACAAAAAAATTACGAATAAATCTGTTTAAGTCTATTCTATTTTATTCTATTCTATAATAGGATGACATATTTCTCCCAGAAAGTGCTTAACTGGACTGATATGGTGGCTAATAAGTCAATTGGAGAGATGGATAATGATCAGCTACATCACAAAAATATGCTTTGCTGTTGGAACTAAGTTTTGCAAGGTGTTCCAAAGCCAATCAAATCTTCCATATTATTATTATTCCACCACAGCCAGAAAGAATCAATGCTTGTTAAAAGCAAATCCTGACCCTACTGTTACATGTTCTTCTTAAACAGGTTGAGAAAGTAATGTATTGCTTCTGCTGCAGCTAATTTCCCCTTTTTTTTAAATGCTCCACATTTAAAGCATTCATTTTGCCATCCACATTGTTTTTAAGGCTTCTGCTGGTCCATACACTATGTATCCTTCATCTGAAGAATATCAGGTGAAGTAAACTGGAAAAGATACTGGAAAGATACCAAATGTTTTAATTAAAATCGGGGAAATAAAAACACACAGAAGAACAAAACACTCCATAAACCCAACACTTTCACTGAAGCTGCAGCTAGAACAGTGAAGTTTTGCTGAGTCTGCTTGAGTTTTAGCCTGTTCCCTGCTCTTGGCTGACAATAGTGACCCTATGTGGTCTTCTGCCTCAGTGGCCGATCTTATTCAACAAGTTCTGCCTATTTTCCTCTATTTCCATTTGACATCGACAAGATTTTTTTATCTAAGCACCTTCCAATCAGTGATTATGCTTTTTTTCCTCCAGATTGTGTTCTGTAAACTCATCCCTGCTGCAACCAGACTCTACAATGCGACACTCCAACGGCAATAACTGGTGCAATGTGTAATATGCAATTACTACTGATACCCTGTGCAATAACCTGTTTCTCTATATTTGACACCCAGTGCAATAACTATATGAATATAAATATCCACCTATATAAATACCCATGTAAACACCCTGTGCAATTACTCCATACAATAATCCTGCTATATATATATATATATATATATATATATATATATATATAGAGTTGTTATATGTGGACGCACTGTATATACAGTATATATCCCATGCACCTTTTTCCTTTTCTTCCTTTGGCACTTTCTTCTTCTCCTTTCACTATTTGAGCTGATGTAAGGAGTACATTTCTCCACTGTGAGATCAATAAAGTCAATTAATCAATCAATAAACACCTAAATGGCTGTGTGTAAAAATCCTCGTCCGTCAGAAATTTTTAAAATAATTCTCCTTCTTCTATCAGTTATATATTCACTTTGAACTTAAACAAGTTCTCTTCATTATTATAATTTTTTTTAAAGCAGTCAGTTGGTGCCACGTGATTGGCTGAGTCAACATTTATGTTGAAAAGCAATTGAACAGGTGGCCAGTGTCTACAGGTCTATAGAGGCCAAATAAAGCACAGCATCAAATTGAAGCAGAATTTTGATCCATTAAGACTTTATTCAACTGAAATAAATCCTCTTGAATTCAAATTTAGTTTTGCAGGCTGCAGGCCCGTATTTTAAACAGGCTACTCGTTGACAAACGCAGAGAACGTGCTCGTTCACAGACACTGATCAGGTCGGTAAACAGATGACGTCAGAGCCGCATCAAGTCAGAGACAAAACCGGAAAACACTGAGATGGTCTGCTTGACGACTCATTTTTATTGCTTGTAAGTTATCATTTTGAAAATAAAACCCAGAAGTCTGAAAAGAAAAACAGCTACAACTACCGGACTACCAATAACAATAGTAGGGTTTGCCCTTTTGAATTTTTTATTTCCACCCACATTAACATGCAAAAAGTTTTCTTTTTATTTTCACTTTTTGGACAAGGACAACTGTCAACAGTCTATTCCTGGTTTGTGTTGGACAAGAAAACATAACAAAAATACAATAAAAATTAAATTTTATTAAAAATTAGTTTTTCTTGTATGATATTGTAATCTGAGTAACAGAATGTTATCAGCCTTGTGCCAAAGTGATCATAATTAGGATAAGTAAATATTTTGAATTTTTAAATTCCTTTTATAATATAATGTATTAAATTGTTTTTTGTTTTACTTTAAAACCAGTAAACACCAAAAAAACTAATTCGTAAGCAACTTTCAAGCTTAAAAACGTACATATCAATTAATATGTAACGATTACTTTATTTATACATTGATATAATATTCCTGCTCAAACGGGCTTTTATTTTGAAATCGATACCCGGATGTTGTCATATTACTGTTCGCTAGCTTTCTCCTGCTGGTGTCGAGGCTAGCTAAGGGGGAGAAACGGTGGGAGAAGGGCAGAAAGCGTGGGGTAAAAACACAGATTAAACTCGGTTAACACCTGGCAGTGTTGAAGAAAGGTACCGAACAGGTAGGTGAAGGTCTCCTCTTACTTTCCACGTCATAACTTTCATGCCAGGGCTGCTTTTAAAGCCCTAAAAATGGTCGAGAAGATGCGTTCTCACCAGCAAGCGACTGGCTGCTGCACACAACACTGGACTGAATAACGAGATAAACAACAACAGCTGCTGCAGCGGGTCGCAGCCGCAGTGATATGCGCAAATAGGGCAGTTTTAGCGGAGTTAACTTTATTAGTGGGAAGGATTTATTCAGAGGGGAGGCATTGCTAACAGGAGCTACAGTTAGCATTGCTAAATTGTCACAGCAACACTGTTTTCTGCAGCTTTAGATCTGAAGGGTGCAAACACACTCAGATCCACAGGCATAGCCCACACAACTAAGAAGCAAGCAGTGATTGGTTATGAATTATTGGACCAATGATATAGTTACACGGGTGCACAGCATTTTGCTCTTGAGTAATAAATATCTGTTTATATATATATATATATATATATATATATATATATACACACACACACACATATGTATATATATATATGTATATACACACACACACACACATATGTATATATATATGTGTGTGTGTGTGTGTGTGTGTGTGTAAAAAAAAAAAACACGTACATAGTAGTAGATCTATATTAGCAGGTTCTAGCTATCAATAAGCTTCCAGTATCCTGAATAATTGTCCTCTTCTTTTTCTGACTGGATTGGCCTAGTTGTCGGTTTCTGCTAAGAGCTCTCAATTTTAACGGGTTTGAGCTCAAACAGTGATGGAGCCCCACAGTATGCTACTACCAGCACCATGTTTGACAGGTGGAACAAGGTTGTTAGGTTTTGAGAGCCTCACTTCAACCCATCCAGAGTTAATCTAATTAAACCTTCCAACAGAAGTTCTTTGTTTTGTCCATGAGAGCTGCTGTGAGGTAAAGTTTTTGATATCTGAGCCCCTTTGTGGTCAGAAGAGACAAAGGTTGAGATGCTTGGTCTGAGAGACCAATGTGACACAGCTGTAAAGCATGGTGGTGGCAGCATCCTGCTGTGGGATTGTGAAGCTTTCTGAATTGTCAACTATCCAGACCGAGGTTTGCTAGAAGCTCTGGTGTTAATTTTTAAAAATGAAGGGATTTGACATTAATGACATAAGATATAAACCTATGACTGCCCTGATGATTCTTTTTTGTTTTTCCAGGCATCACCAGCAGCTTGGTGACATTTCTCCCGCGGCTCTCACCACCTCCCACCTACCATATCTTAGTTACCTGGTGCCTCTGTCCCATGAAAATTTGTGTTAAATCAGAAACTAAAAGTTAATTGACACCAGCAAATTAAAATCTGACACGTATCGGCTACCAAAGGCAACATCTTGTTTAGTTTTGCACCTTAGATCGGTATTTTTTGTCCAACCACTGAAGCCCCCATTTTTAAAGACTTAGTCGCTCATCTGATCAGGCCAATCTCTGTAAACTCTGTAGACTCCAAGAAAGCACCACCATGGCCTCTGTGACCCACTCCTCTGAACCAGAGATCCTAGACAACCACAAAGAGAGCTGGCTGGCTCTACTTTCAGCTGCGGAGGCCTATTGCCAGAAGTCTGGCTGTGATCTGGCCATTCTCACAGCCTGTAAGAAGTTCCGGCCGACGGAAGGCGAGGGAGGGAAGAAGCAGGAGAGCGGCACCGGCTTCCCGAAGGAGTGCGATTTCTCCTACAGTGTGTGGGGTCAGGGCTTCCTGGCCGAGTCGGCGCGCCGCTACATGGACGACATCGGCGTGCTGCACTCCACGTCCATGCTGACGGCCCAGAAGCACACGCGGCAAACCGGTGGAGAGCAACGAACCAAGATGTTGGTTGATTTGACCTCTGAAACCGGATACAGAGGGGTAAGTAGGCAGTTTGTGTCGCATCTCGTCTGGCCTTCAAGAAAGCTCCCATACAAAACCAGTACAAGTCTCTGATGTCTGGATGTCACAGAGCTTCACCGGCGACGGCGTGGTGGGTGGAGTCAGTCCCAACAGCAGACTGTATTCCCAGAGCTACCCGTCCATCTACAGCCCGGACGACACGAGCCAGCAGGGCATCGGGCAGAACGGCAACGCGGAGAGGGAACGGGAGAGGAGAGCTCTGGAGGTGGAGCGGGAGAGACAGCGGGCTGGGATCGTAGATCTGTTAGAGGAGGGGGAGGAGGTGGAAGAGGAGGAAGACATGGATGAGAGGCGGCCGTACGGAAACGAAAGCGCAGGTAGGCACACGTTAGGTTTGTTGCTGTTCAAAGGTGATGCCTCATTTTTGGTGGAAGGAGACATCCGCCAGGTTGACCATCAATCTTTCTTCAGTGATTCACTTTAAATGTTTAAGCTCATATGGATTCATTCCACAGAGAGCGATGTATGCATGTAAAAAAAAAAAAAAAAAAAAAAGACTACTCAAAACTTTTTCAGTATTTTTATGGGAGAAAAACAGTCTCATTGGAATCTGCCTTTTTTTAACACCGAATTTTAAACATCGAATTTTTTTAACACCGAATTTTAAACACTGAATTTTTTTAACACCGAATTTTAAACACTGAATTTTTTTAACACCGAATTTTAAACACTGAATTTTTTTAACACCGAATTTTAAACACTGAATTTTTTTAACACCGAATTTTAAACATTGAATTTTTTTAACACCGAATTTTAAACACTGAATTTTTTTAACACCGAATTTTAAACATTGAATTTTTTTAACACCGAATTTTAAACACTGAATTTTTTTAACACCGAATTTTAAACACTAAATTTTTTTAACACTGAATGTTAAACACTGAATTTTTAGACATTGAATTCGTTAATCAATTTTTATCTAGAAAAAATTCACCAGAAAAAAATTCAGCTGCAAAAATTCAGCCGCAAATGTGTTGACCTTTTGGTGAACTCAAGCCAAAGCAATCTACACTTGATAGAGTCGAGCAGCTTCTAGCCAATGAAATTAGCTCATTTGGTCATGTGACACAACGGCTCGGCGCTTTTCCCGGCTGAATGAGGAATTTTTTTGTTCAACAGAAGTACTAAACGTCAGTTAGCTACTAACAAACAGCTATTAGAATTTTTCCTCTTATCAGACTGGGTGAAACAACTGACCCGATCACTGCTAGTACGGCACCCCTGTCAAGGCTCTTGGTTTGATCCGGAAGAAGCAGCCGGCAGCAAACCGGCTGCTGGCAGAAATGAAGAAGAAAAATAGTTTGCCGCCGGCCTCTTCTTCCGGAAAAAACTCTAATAGCTGTCTGTTAGTAGCTAACTGACGTTTTGTAATTCTGTTTAACAAAAAAATTCTTATTCAGCCGGGAAAAGCGCTGAGCCGTTGTGTCACGGGACCAAATGAGCTAATTTCATTGGCTAAAAGCTGCTTGACTCTATCAAGTGTAGATTCCTTTGGCTTGAGTTAACCAAACGGTCAATAAACTGGTCTGATCTGAAACTCAGAGAGAATCTATGTAGTGTTTTGAAAGAGGATGGGAAACACCAGAACCAACATTAAAGATCATGTTCCTCATTATTTCTGCCTAGAAATCATCAGAAATGCCAAACTAATGCAAAGAACAATGAAACATACATGATGATTAAATAGGAAACATTTTTCTGCTCCACAGAAACTTTCAGACGAAAGAAAATCAGCTCAGTTTCTTAAGTTGAATGTCTGAAAAACACCAAAATAAATTAGCTGAGAGACAGAAATCAGGATTTTAGCATCTTCAAGGTGATTTCCAGACAGCTGCCAACTAGAAAAGCCTCATACAGCAGCCAATCTGCTGGAGGATGATGGATTCCTTCCTGCCATTAGAAGCTCCGTTCTCTAAGGAACTGTCTCCTGATCGTGAGAACCAACAGCCCTGACCTCTACGCTCCTGGTGAGGACGTTTGGGCGAAGTTTTTTTTATTTATCCTTTATTTAAAGGAATAGTACCCCCAAAACATGATTAGCCTTCATTTTCTACTCACCCCCATGCTGAACAACACTCTGGAGTACTTTTTTGATATCTCAAATGCATCTGGAGATCTGGGAGGCTTCTTGCTGTCTGCTGACATTCAAATAATGGAGGTCTATGGTGACCGAGACAGAAAGGTCCATAAAAGTCCACAAAAACGTGTCAATATTCCTCCATACTGCTCGTCCAATGTATTCCAAGTGTCCTGAGTGGGTAGCATCCAGAATTTACTCGAAACAAAGTCATTTAGAAGGTTTTTAGAGCATAAACAGTAGTGTATAGGATTTCCTGAAAGCGCGCACATGCGCGTTCACGACGCTACGGAAGCCGGCAGACCAAACCAGATGAAAGTGCGCATTCAGCGTCTGCTCTTCCAATAATGCAAGCGTAGAAGAAGAAATGTGCTGTTTACCTGTGCAAAGAAAGAAACAACGAAAGAAAAATGTCTGAGGACTTCAGTGTTGAGGAAGAGCATGAGTTCTTTGCCGAGCTGAATGTGCACTTTCATCTGGGTTGGTCTGCCGGCTTCCGTAGCGTCGTGAACGCGCATGTGCGCGCTTTCAGGAAATCCTATACACTACTGTTTATGCTCTAAAAACATTCTAAATGACTTCGTTTCGAGTAAATTCTGGATGCTACCCACTCAGGACACTTGGAATACATTGGACGAGCAGTATGGAGGAATATTGACACGTTTTTTGTGGACTTTTATGGACCTTTCTGTCTCGGGCACCATAGACCTCCATTATTTGAATGTCAGCAGACAGCAAGAAGCCTCCCTGATCTCCAGATGCATTTGAGATATCAAAAAAGTACTCCAGAGTGTTGTTCAGCATGGGGGTGAGTAGAAAATGAAGGCTAATCATGTTTTGGGTGTACTATTCCTTTAACCAGGTAATACCCATTGAGATTAAAAATCTCTTTTGCAAGGGACACCTGGCCAAGATAGGCATCAAGTTCCCACCTTAGTGAAGACTTCAACAGATGACCAGGATAGATTCCAGACCTGCTGATGGAATAAGGTTCTGATGTTCTGGAATCCATAGCAGCTGGATACGAACAAGGAGACAGAAAGCTCTGGAGGAGGACTGGTTCCTTCCTACCTTCATGACTGAGCTGCCATTTTCAGGGTGTTTTTTAGATCCGAATCGTTTCTCTGTTTAAAGTTTTCCTACTTTACTAATTTCTTGGAATTATATATATTGACCTTAACGTCGATGGACATTTTTCTTTTCTAACATATTAGTATCAGTCCTAAAGGTAAAAGAAGGCCCGACTCACCAGGCAGAAAATATGGAGAGATTGAAAGATTAGCTGGATTCTGAATATACGGATCGGCTGAATGTTTTTCAGTAAATGGTTTTTCTGAGATAAGATGTCTGATTCACTGCGATTGGGTTTCAGGTGTTTTCTCCATGGACGAGGACTCGATTTCCAGGGACTGTGAGCCGTTCTTTGAGTCCGACGGAGAGGAGGAGAGCACTGATGGTAGGACGTTTATCATCCGGTTGTGAAAGCTTGTTGTTTTTACAGACCTGTGATATAACCGTTCCTTCCTCTCATCTGGACCAGGCTCGCTGAGCGAGGACGCCCCCCCACCACCGCGCGGCCTGGCCATGGGGCAGCACGCTTTCTCGTCCCGCCACGCCCACCCCACGGCCCTGGCCCGCTCGCTGCCCGTGTCCGTCCCCGTGTGGGGCTGCAAGAGCAGCAGAGCCGCTCTGGGCGACAGCAACAGCGGAGAACGGGTGAGCGGGGGTTGTTTCTGTTGGAGGCAGGGAGTCGGGTCAGAACATGTCTGCTCAGAGTGCCTTCTGGGAAATAATGAAGAAATCATCGACAGGGTTCAGGGAGGCTAAGGGTTCTAAAACCTGAGGAGGAAACTTAGCAGCTTCATGTCTGTAACTGATGGCTGAATCACGGTGTGTTTTTTTTTTTTTCATCTTGGAGTATTAGGACTTTATATGAATTCCCAGAGGATTTAAATCCAGCCTCAAGTGTAAAGATCCTAATAGATTAATTTTTTTGACCAAAATTTTTCTTATTTAATCACCAGCAGACGTAAAGCAAAAGCCAACACCAATAATTTTTAGATATAAATGTTTTTATCATCATCTTTACTCTATAACTGATCTAAAGTCACTGACCAGTGTTACAAACCAATGGTGTGCAGCCATAGCCCCGGAATATTTTACAGCAGATCCAAAACATCACAAAAAAACCTGTTTAACTCAGGTTAAAAAGTGAAATATTATCTTAACTCCAACAACCAAAAGCAAAAGGCAGAGCTGAAATTAAACTGGGATGGCTGAAAATACTCAACCAGTCAGGAGGAGAGATCTCTGCACAAAGCATTCTGGGATATATCTGCCTCTTCTGAGGCCTTTCTTTTCTTCTCATGCACTTCGCAGACACTTTTTCTCTGACGACCCACGGCCATTTTCAAAGAATCACGGTGAGAAAGGGGAGCTTCAGTGACTGTCTGAAACCGCAGCTCACCACAGATATACGCCTGAAAGATGGCTAACAGGATGAGCACGTAGGACGGCCTTACGCAAACATATCACCAGAATGATTGACAGTTAAGAAGGCCGCTTATTTAGATGTAGGTCCATACCTTTTAATGTAAAAGGAAGAAAAGCAGAAAGAGGCACTGTTCTCCCTGCAAGGGGAACAAATTTCTTCAGGGAAACTATCTCAGCTTAAAGGCATACTATGCAACATTTTTCAGTTAATTAATGTGTTCCATAACGTTTTGGATGATTAAATGAGTAATTTCAGGTCGAACAAAGGTTTTCTCGGCCGCCCTGGTGGTCTGTAGGGAAAATACCGTACTTGCAATTGCAGGAGCCCTCGGCCCGCATCCACAGGCCCAGAAGTCTCGTGCATCGTGAGAGTCGTTCTTGCTTTACGGCAAGAGCTGCTACACGCCCCCAGTGAAAGCCTTGCTCGTTGCTAGCGCAGTGGCGATATTTGTGCAGTTATCATGGCGGAACCTAGCCTGGGTGCCATTCCGAACTTAATCCCGCCCACAAGGTTTGAGGTCGGGAAGTTCGGTCTGGCATTGCTTAATAGTAGCGCGTGTATGCTCGCACAATATCTGGCGGCCCAATCAAATTGTCAGGGCGGGCTTTATACGATGATGGACAGATGATCAACAGTAACGTAATCAACCACGTGACCAAAGCGCGCTTGGGTGACAACAACAATGGCTGCCGCTGGAGAGTTGAGGTGTGTAGATTCTGCTATTAGGTCTGTTCTAGAAGATATCAACAGCAAATTAATTTTAAAAGAGGAACAGAGAAACGCGATCAAGGCATTTGTTGAAAAGAAAGATGTTTTTGGCGTCCTTCCTACGGGATTCGGCAAAAGTTTAATTTATCAGCTGGCTCCCTTGGTCGCTTAACATACGTCACGCACTCCGTTGCTCTTATTGGTTGTAGGTCTATCCAATTGAGTGCAGAGGCATTTTTTTTCCTGGTTCGTTCGAAACACGCCCCATAATCACAGCTCTATGGAGCAGCATCAGACTCATATTCTGACTAGAATTGAGTCGGACTACGTCAGGCTAGGCGGAACCAGTGAGAATTTTCAAACTCGAAAATTGGAATAAAATAGTCACTTACCGCAGTAGACATGGTGATTTGTTGGGTTTGCTTGTCTGCTAAGCTCAAAACAACCGCGCCTGGCTTGACGGAGAAACCAGGAGAACAGCTGAGCATATTTACGACAGTGCACTTTTACTTTCGCCCTCTGGGGGGAGCCTCGCTGGAAAATCAACACCGGTTGCATAGTATATCTTTAACTCTCGGTGCCCAATGCTATCTGCAGGGTAACTTTAGCTATGTAAAAAAAAAACAACAAAAAAACAAAATAGAGCTAACTCAACTTTGTGTGAGAGGAAAAGTTCAGCATAAACCAAACAGCATTGAAGCACGGTGGTGGAAGTGTTATGGAAAGGGATCTTTTGCTGCATTAGAACCTGTCCTGCTCATCCAGAGAATGGACTGTTCTTCAAAAGGGTTTTAATCTGACTTGAAAGAGACTGAAAACTGAAAAACAGAATCTGCAAGGAGCTTCTGGATTAAGTCATCTCAGCTGAAGGGGAAACACCAGCTGTTAGGGGAGGGGCCTGATAACTTTCTCCTCAATTGGAAGACTTTTTATACTGAAATGGAGGTATTTTATGTTGTTAAGCAGCAACTAAAACCAAATAAAAATTTTCTTTGAAAATCTAAATACTACATTCTTATTTCCAACAGGTGAAAAGTTAGCTTTTTTTCCTAAGCTCAGAATCTTGTTTTTATGGCTATGGTATGGTCTCTAAAGACAAAGATCCTATTCAGCTGTAAACATCCACTCCTGCTTCTCATGTGAGCATAAAAAAAGTGAAAAGGTCAGCAAACATTAGGTAACAGAGCAGGAACACAACCTTTATTTCGCCTATTTTAACATCCCTCTTTCTCCACGTCTTTCCCAGCCGGGCTGCGCTGACCTGGAGCACATCGCTGCAAGTATGAAGGCCCTGCTGGTCCCTGGAGCCACCGACGGGACGGAGATGTTCGGGGCCCTGCCACGGCCCCGGCTTAACACTGGGGACTTCTCTGTCAAGCACTGAGAGGGGGGGAGGGGAAAACCTGGAACGTGTGAATCGGTGTAAAAGCTCCAATCTGTTTATCGTTTCAGCCACTAAGAATATCTGCAAACTCACAGGGTTAAAACAGTCGTGCATAAATGTCACGAACACTAAGAACATCTTCAACACTACTACTATTGCTCCCCCCACCACCACCACAATAACAACACTTGGTTCAGACCGGTCTTGCGGTCAGGAGCATACTGAGCCATAGCGCCGCACAGGCATGGGTGTCATTTCGGTGAGCGGTTTGGCCAAATAACCTGGAAGGGATGAGATCTTTGATGCGAACCCATCAGTAAACGAGTTTAAAAAGCCACTATTAGACAAAATCCTGCTTTAATTCTGAGAAATGTGGGAAAATCTGGTTAGAAATACTGATTTAAAAAAATAAAAAGATTCTTTTTGATTTGCTTCACGGAGTCCTGCTCCTTCGTGACCCTTTTCCAGCATTATCACAAGACTAGTTGCATCACATTTGCACTGAAGTCTTGCTACGCTCCTAAAGCTATGTTTCAAAAATGCGTAGCTCTACAAAGAGCACAGCTCACCTCAACTCATTTAGGGGTAAAGATGCGTTAGATGATGTCTCTAACACTAAAAAAACTCAGAAATTGTAGGATTACCTTAAAAAATGACGGCTTCCAAAAACTCTTCAAAGTGCTGCTTTTGCATTTATGTATGTGCTTACTTTAACAGTAAATATGTAATTGCTAAGCTTTAGGCATGTGTCGAAGAGAGAGTTTGAACACTAAAGAGGGGTTTAATAGTGTTTGTCAGTATTGTTTTTAACCCTGGTCCTGCTGCTTGATTCAATAAATGGAGCGCTGATCGTTCAGCATAACTATGTTAAAATGGGGGATTTGAATAGGTGGGAGATCTGCATCCGGTTCTCCAGTAACTTAATCTTCATGTTTTCAAATCTCAGATCATCTTTGTGCTATCGGTACAATCAGGGTGCAATCTAGAATGTGTTGCAGTATCTTGAAAGTAGTGGGGGGAAAACAGCAAATGCAGCCAAGTTTAAAAAAATAATTTCAAGCTCATGGAACCAATAGTATAATAAAACATCAGTAAAGCCACCATTTTTATAAAAAAAAAAGAAAAAATCTTATTTTCACCATAAATGTAATAGTTTTTTTTAATTATAAAATGACTGCTTTGAATTAAGGAGAAATTTCTTTTTAATCGTTTGAAAAAACTCTAGTTAAATTTGCCCATCACTTCATATCATTAGAGTGGAATGACCAACATTTTCACTAAGTTTCCCCTCTGTTATGTAAAAGAGTAAAAATCATATTTTAACACAAAGCTTGTTGCTTTTTTTGTAAACGTGAGCAGAGGACACCAGCACCTTCTCATTACATGCCTATTTTTTTATTTTACAAATGGATGAATGATTCGGCTATATGTCCGGGGGGGTGGTATTCCCTTTTCCACATTTGCTCTGGATATGTTAAAATGTTTGAATGAAAGAGAAAGTGACTGTTTGAAAGAGAGAGAGAGGCGGATGTTAAAATTTAACATGGTGCATCTTGGATATTTCAGAAATAAATGTTCCGTTAAATCCTTTAATGTTTCAAATAAAGGAGCAATCACCAAGAGTATCAGCTCTGTCTTTTTCTGTTTTTTGAGCAGCAACATGAGGATGTAGTGTTGTTGTATGCTACCAGGTGGCGGTGTTGCACTATATTAACGAAGAATGGACAATACACCAGTTTTTTTTATTTATTTTTTTTATCTCCTGGCCCACTTTTTATATATATATATATATATATATATATATATATATATATATATATATAATCACTCAACCGTAAATATGATAAATTTGAGGATTTTTTTTCAAATAAAACAAAATTAAAATTATGCATACAGGTGTGCCAGAAAAGTAAAGAGGCATTTTTTTGCTGTTAGGCTAATATATGTCCCTACGGAAGCCCTGAAATTCAAGAGCGAAAAAAATCTGGAAAATAAAAGTTAGAATTTTTTTTTCTTGTATTATTTTCTGCCCTGAAAGACAAGTAAAAAAAAAAAAAAAAAAAAGGCAAATTTTTCTGTCCTTGTAATACTTTATTTTGCCACTACAGGCGCGGACGTAATAAGACACACAGTTGCACACGGCTGTATTCTTCAACTGATTTTCAACAGATTTGTTTTCTCTCTTGCCTTTCATTACTTAGGTATTATTCACCTACAGCCAATGAAAAGAACATCTAGTATACAATATTAAGATCAGACTGGAATACAATGGGGACTAAAGGACAACATATAAAACTGCTTAAAGATAGACAGATTTAAGTTTTAATTTGATGATACAATGAAGCTTGAATGTAATGAAGTGATTCAGGCATCTCAAACTATACAATGTATAAATAGGATTAGTTCCAGAAGAACAGAAAAATTTGTGTTAAGGCAATCAAATCTTTTTGCTTATAGCTCTTACATGCCTTGACAGATATTTTTAAGATAATTATTTGGCAATAAGCTCCAAGTCTTGAAGGCTGGAAGGGGCTGTAGGTGATAACCCTAATTTTTAGCTATCTCCATATTTGGGGCAGAACTTTGGTTTGGACACCCCAAAATAGAAAAAAAAAATAAATCAAACACCCAGTGGCGAATTTAAAATAATTACAAACCCAATTCTGCTCTCAGAAATAAATGATATCAAGTTGTACCATAATCACCTATTATTTAGCTTCTAAGCATAAATATTGGATAATTAAAATTTTATTTGGTTTCCTATTAACTATCCAGCTTTACAGTCCGACAGCAGCTTATCTGGGCCAAACTTGGTGTTACAACCCGATATAAGCCTTCTCCATCCATGGGAGATTTATGTTTAAGATGATGAACTTCGTTGAAAAACCTAAATGGTTTTTTCCTTGTTATTCTACCTACTTTGCTCAGTGGATCTTTGCTATTGGTTGACAATGTTAAGCATGATGCTGCCACTGCCATGCTTAAGCTGAACGCCTCACCTTGACTATTTTTAAACACAAACTTTGTGGCCAGTTAGCGTTCTTCCTGTCTGACCGAAAAAAACTGCACAAAAAGTTTACATCATAAAGCTGGACAGAAGATTCCCACATCAATAAGCTTAATGTTGACTCCTCCACTTATTTTCATCGTGACCAAATGCTTTTGAGTTTTATATTTATTTGACATATGGAGCAGGTTATTTAGACAAAACAAAGTATGTTCGGGGGGGATAAACAAGAGGCCTTCAAACCTAGGATAAATGTAACAGCTGGAAAGCATGTTGGTGGCAGCATCATGTTTAGGATCTTTTTGCTGTCAGTGATGAAATCATGAAGTACTACCTAAAAATAGGTCAAGTTCCCCTGAAGCCCACAGCAAGGTCCAAAGTGTCCATTAAGAATCACCATCCCCAAACTTTTAGCTGATTCCTGATCCAACACAACTGAATCTAAAGGCAGAATTCCTTCACCAGCATTCCGTTGGTTCAGGTTAGTTTTTGATTGATTGATTGATTAATTTGACTTTATTGATCTCACAGTGGAGAAATCCACTTGTTACATCAGCTCAAACGGTCAAAGGAGAAGAATGTGCCAAAGGAAGAAAAAGGTGCATGGGATATATACAGTATATACAGTGCGTCCACATATGACAGCTTTAAAGAAAAAAAAATGTAAGCAGGATTATTGCACAGGGTGTTTACATGGGTATCTATATAGATGGAAATTTATATTCATATATATATTTATTGCACTGGGTGTCAAAAATAGATAAACAGGTTATTGCACAGGGTATCAAATAGTAATTGCACATTATACATTGCTCAAGGTTTTGCCGTTGTAGTATTGCATTGTAGTTGCAGCAGGGAAGAATGACCTGCGGTAGCGCTTTAAAGCTACAGTGTGTAACTTTTAGCGACATCTAGCGGTCAGACTGCAGACTGCAGCAACATGAACATCTCCCCCCCACCGCTTCTCCCCCCAAACAGTACGGCGAGCGTTACGGGACAAAATGTCTTCCACGACGTCCGCATCACCTACCTTCTCAAGTGATGAGGTTTGTTTACATAGATAATTTTACAGATAGTATTTCATTAGTCTGTGTAGGGTATAGATTTCATGTAGACTTAAGATAATAAATATACCCGTTATTTTTTCTACATCGTTGTGACATTTTGGTGATCTCGCAATCGCTAGTTTGTTGGCTCTGCGCTGCCGTAGCACAAAGATGTCTGCCTCCATGGCTGCGAGGCCCGCTCCTATGTAATTATAAATAACGAATTCTAAGGCAATGCAAATATTAAGGTTAAGAGGCTGAGCTCGTAGATGATGATAAATAACATAGTTATGTATAATATATTACATTTCTGACTGTATATCCCTGTAATTATTACACACTGTAGCTTTAAGAAGGGGGGGGGGGGGGTAGTTGTTTTTCCAGAAGGAGAATGATCCCAAAGATGCAAGGAAATAATTCTGGATTTACAGCTGACTTCCCAAAGAAACCATTTTTACCTTATGGCATATTTATGGACCATGGGTCAAAAAACGTTATCAAATGACCTAAAGGGCTCTATGCCCAAATCCACTACTTCCTGAACTTCAGCAGGCTCCTTTGTTTCCTGTCTTACAGGACAGACTGATTAATCCAGGTGTGTCTGGTAATTTGGCGTTAATGTCGTGGCCAATGTTTATCGATAACTTTGTAAACATTATTTCATTAGTCTGTGTAGGATGGTATCTACACTTGCTGCAGTCTCATTTGAGCTTAATGGTGATCTCTAGAGTAATTAGTTTGTCAGCTCTGCGCTGTCGTAGCGAAGATGTCTGCCACACAAATGCAAACCCACTCCTATCCTATGTAATTATAAATAACATTTTCTAAGGCAAAGCTCACATAAAATAGGACACTTTACATTGATAGATAATAATAAATAATATACTATAAATAGATCATCTATGTCAGTAACTTCTTGTATTTATCACACAGTGTACCTTTAAAATAAAACCCTGAAAGCCTCTAATGAAGAAGCCTGTGAGTGGATTACAATTCCTGACTGGCTTTGAAAGAATAAGGACATACAAACTACATCAATCACAATACAACAGAAATAAAAGTTGAATTATTTAATTTTGATAAAAACAGCCAACTTTATTATTTCCATAATTAGATGAACAAGAACAAATGAAAGCCTGAAGGTATAGACAGACCTTCATTTCAAAATGTTTTCATGCATTCAATGAAATAAACCCCAAAGATGTCACCATGTATTCAGTTGAACACATTCTGAGCGCTTTCCGTTAAAAGCTTCCCTACTGCCCCATCCAAACATGCCATTCCGTTTAGAGTGTCACTAATCTTTTTTCCGGATGAGACAGAAGGAATTTGTGCCGATCCAGAACCCGGGAAAAACTTTCT